CGCACGCGAAATGAGAAGGAAGAAGAGCAGGGCGAGCGCAGCCCTGCCCGGAGGCGTGCCAGCCATGTATGCTCGGGGGGTGATGACCCAAGCTTGCTCCAGTGGGCGCTCAACGAGCGGGGGGCGACCGTTCCGCTGGCTCCGTTCGGGGGCCGACAACCTTTGGAGGGGTGTTTCACAAACCCGAGGGGGGAGCTCCGCAAACCCCGTGCACGGGAGGCGGGTCCACAAATCCTGTGGGGGTTCCACAGATCCCAGAGGGGGTGTTATCAACTTCCAGTGGGGGGGGGTCCACAGGCCCTGGTGGGGATGTGTACACATCCCGGGGGGAGAGTTTCACACAGGGGGGGCTCCCGGGGTCCAGAACCCCTGGGGGGCGTTCCTGGGGTCCAGAACCCCTCTCCTCCTCCTCCTCTATCCTCCTCCTCCTCCTCCTCCTCCTCCTCCTCCTATCCTCCCGCAGACCCCGCGTGCTGGCTCTCTGCGATCGGTTGGGGCTCTTTGGTGCGGCGAGTCGCCTCCGTGCGCCACGCCGGCTCGAATGCCAGGAGGGGTCGTCCCGGGCCTGCGGCCCGGGTCTCTTTTCGAACCGCCGCAGCCCATAGCGCCGTGCTCCGCCCGAGCGTGGGGCGCGCCTGCTGCTTCTCTCTCTCTCTCTCTCTCCCTCTCTCTCTCTCTTACTCTCTCCTCCCTCTCTCTCTCCTCCCTCTCCCTCTCTCTCTCTCCTCCTCTCCCTCCCTCCCTCTCTCTCTCTCTCCCCCCTCTCTCTCTCTCTCCCCCCTCTCTCTCTCCCCCCTCTCTCTCTCTCCCTCCCTCTCTCTCCCTCTCTCTCTCCCTCTCCCTCTCTCTCTCTCTTTCTCTCTCTCTCTCTCTCCCTCTCTCTCTCTCTCTCGAACAGGCTGGCTCCTGGGAGGGCCTGGAGGCCCCGCGGGGAGCAGCCCGAACTTCGGGACGGGCGGTGCTCGCCCCGACCTGCCCCTGGGTCACAGGTGCAGTGGGAGCCCATGCCGAGGAGCACCCTGCTTGCCTCCTGGGTGCCCCGGGGTTTCTGGGGTTGAGATGGTTTTGCGATGGAGATCGGGGGCGGAAAAGAGAGGGGTGATGACTAGGGGGGGGTGGATATCATGGCGGGGGCCATGATATTTCCCCAGATTTCATGGCGCCTCTTCTTATTCCATTACGTCCCTGGCCCCCCCGCAAGGCCGCGCACATGCCGCCGGTCATGATTTGCGCCCCCCCCTCTTTGACGCCCCCCTCTTTGCCGCTCCCGAGGAGAGCGCGACGTTCCCACACCAGGAGTCAATGGACGTCCTGGGGTCTCGGTCTCAGGGTTGGGTGTCTTGGGGGAGGTGTATTGCTGTTGAGCTTCTCTTGCATGCGGGCGAGGCAGAGGGTGAGTGAAACCTGCTGGGTTCTCCTCCCCGCCGCGCTTGTCGTGGATCGGGAGAGGGGCGCTGGTCCTCCGAGCTCAACGGGGGAAGCATTTGCCCCGCAGCAGCTGCTGCTCTGCAAGCGGTCGGCGGCCACAGGTGGTGAGGAGGAGGAGGCGGAGGCGGAGGAGGAGGAGGAGGAGGAGGAGGAGGAGGAGGAGGAGGAGGAGGAGGAGGAGGAGGAGAACGATGAGTAGGAGGAGGAGGAGGAGGAGGAGGAGGAGGAGGAGGAGGAGGAGGAGGAGGAGGAGGAGGAGGAGCAGGAGAAAGATGAGGAGCGTAGCCTGCCACCTCCCTTCTACGATCGGATTGCGGCGGCGTTCGTGCATGCTTGGCAGATGTATGCTCCTCAGGCTAGTTGGGAAACGTCAGACTGCTGTAAGGTTGCGTGGGGCAACTTTTGGCGGCCTCTTGATTTGTACTTGTCCTGGGGCTTGCTGCCATGCTCGTCGTTGGTCCGTGGTGCGTTGTTGGATGGGACCCCTGATGTCACGACAGCGATTGCACGAACGGATCTGCTCTTAAATGAGCTCTCCCAATCCTGATCCCTTGCTTTTTTAACCCAAGCCCAGAGTAGCCACTTCTTTGTACAGGCCTTTGTCATGCGGGCGAGCGAGGAGGAGGAGGAGAAGGAGGAGGAGGCGGAGGAGGAGGAGGAGGAGGAGGAGGAGGAGGAGGAGGAGGAGGAGGAGGAGGAGGAGGAGGACCAGCAGCAGCAGCAGCAGCAGCAGCAGCAGCAGCAGCAGCAGCAGCAGGAGCAGGAGGCCTTCCGGGCGCCCTGCCCGGGGCCTGCCGCCCGCGCGGCCCGCCCGCGCCCTGGCGAGGCCCTGGGGGAGTCCCTGTGGGAGCAGGCGGGGCAGGCTCCGGGACTCCCAACGGGGGCCCGTGCAGACGGGGTCTCCTCCCTCCTCATCCTCTTCCTCCTCCCTCCTCCTCTTTCTCCTCTTCCTCCTCCTCCTCCTCCTCCTCCTCCTCCTCCTCCTCCGCCTCCTCCGTAGCCATTGTGGCGCAAGCGGAGTTTGCTGTATAGCCCTGTTTTTTTTTTTTTTTTTTTTTTTTTTTTTTTTTTCTTTTAGAGTTCTAATCGGGTTGGCATGTCGTCCAAGATGGATGTGCGCGAGTTGGTCTCGTCATTGCGTGCTCAGCTGTTGCGGGGGCTGGCGCATAGCCAGGGCATGCATTTCCAAGGTCTGTCCGCGGCGGCACGATCTGCGAAGAATCTGGCGCCCAAGCAGCGTAACAAGATTATCAAGATTGACTTTGCGTACCATCTTTGCGAGCACATCACGCAGCAGAGTGTTTCTGATTTTATATCTGAAGTTTTTGGCGCGGAGTATCCAGCTGACCCTTGTCCACTTACGTCCCCTGAGGTGGTGGTCCCTCGCTTTCGCTCTCGCCCGCAGGGTCGCGCGTTAGACCCGACAGCTGCCGACTTTGTCCCACTCCATTATGTTCGAAGTGAGGGCGCCCGCGCTCCAGCACAACCGGCCTCGTATCAGGCCCTTTGGTCCGTGCCGGAGGCTCTGGCGTCTGCACAGTGCTTGTATGATTCACAACTTTCTGCCTTTTCTGGGTTAGTGGAGTCTCAGAATCAAACTATTGCGAAGCTTCAGGGTATTTTGGACAAACTTGGCGTTCCTCCTCGTCCCCAGGAGCCCTCGGAGTCTGATTCCTTCCATGCGGATTCGTCTTCCGAGTCGCCCAGTACGAGGCCCTCGGGTGACGGCACGGGACCCCAGCACCCGCGTCTGGAGTCCATCCAGCGGCAGATAGACGGCATGGCGACCAGCATGGATGCAAAGATTTCTTCTTCTGTTTCTTCTGCGATGTCCGAGGTCGCGCGCGGGTTTCCCGCCTTGCTGCGGGAGTTGACCCAGGATCTTGGGACGAAGATCATGGAGACTGCGGCGCCAAAGCTGCTGGAGCTTCTGATGCCTATTTTGGAGGGTCGTCTTCTGAAGGTGATGGACGTCGTTGGCATTTTACAAACAAGGCTGCAGGAGCTGGAGAAGCGCTCTCCTCTAGCAGAGGGTTATTCGGACGACCTGGAGAGTTTGGCAGAGGAGGTCTCAGTTCTCGGCTCACGGCTGCAAGAGGTCGAAGGTTCTATTGCCAGCTTGCTTGACCCTGCTCGGCGGGGCCCTTGCTCTCCTGTCCGCAGCAATGTGTCCAAGGCGTCGTCAGCGAACATATTATGCAAGTTTGGATATGAGTGCAATCGCCCCAACTGTACCTTCTCCCATCCTAGGGGGCGGAAGATCGACGGCAAGGAGCCGCAGCGCATAGAGCCAGCTGCCAAACCTATTGATTATGCTAGATTCGATGCGATCAACGATGCCTTTGATGCTGAGGAGCTCGTCGGCCATCTGTCGGGGGCATTGCGGCTTCCGCCTGAACCAGAGGATGGCGACAATGATGTGTATGGTGGTGAGTTGTTGGTCGGCCAGGGCGTGGCTCACTGGCACCCGCCTGAACCTGACATCGACTGATACCATTTCCACGTCTTATAGTTTATCGCGACGACTTCGCCGAGCCGGTTCTTTCATCAGCTACTCGCCCCTGCTCTTCCTCTCCATCGTCTATTTCGTCGCTTGCGAGGTTATTATGTAAGGGGCTGCCGCCCACTCCCACCCCTCGTCTCGGCGAGGTGCGGATTCTAAAGTTGTCAGACAGACCTCTCGGCTACGCTCCACCTCCTCCTCCGCCTCCGCCTCCGCCTCCGCCTCCTCCTCCTCCTCCTCCTCCTCCTCCTTCCGTAGCCATTTTGGCTCAAGATGCCTGCACTGTGGGGGCTCCGCGCCTCCGTGCCTGCAGGGACACCGCTGTTACCGCGGCAGGCAAGGCTGTTCAGCCTGGCATTCGCTTTCTGCCTTTACTGGGGGAGTTGGGCACCCTCACTGAGCCCTGCTTTCGATTTCCCTCAGACTCATTTTGTGTCGTGGATGTCGACTGCTCATGGAGCCGCTAAGAAGGCTGCTGGCGTCATCAAGACTGGCAAGGAAGGCAGGCGCACGCCTCGTGCTGCTCGTGGTGCTGCTGCATCTGCTGGGACAGGCAGTGTGCCCGCATCCCCTGCGCCCGTCCCCATGGACAACGAGGACTCTGACGACGGTGACTGCTACAGTGAGGAGCACATCCGCGCACTCTGCTCGGACATCATCGCTCAGCAGCTTGGCTCGATCAAGGAACAAGTGGACGAAGTCGTGGCTGCCTCCATCAAGGAGTCCGTGGCCAAGGAAGCGTCGTCGATCGGAGACTCGTTCAAGGTCAACTTCGACAAGTGCTTCGCTGCTTGCCAGGAGGACCTCAAGGGCATCGACAAGAAGTTGGACTTTCAGATTGTCTCCACTCTCACCCCCAAGTTGGATGAGATCCGCCGCGAGTTCCATCTCAAGTATGATGACCTGTCTGAGCGCCTCGATTCCGTCACTGCGACCATCAGTGACCACACATCTACGCTGGAGGAGATCCAGGCGACTGTCAAGAAGCTGCAGGGGGCGCTGGCGATGGCGGAGACCAAGCCGCAGAAGCCTCATGTCTTCTCGTCCAGCTTCGAGCGCGAGGTGGACTACTCGATTATCAAGATCAACGCTGGCAAGTTGGTGGCCAAAGGGGTTGTGGCTGAAGCGCTGGCGCCGTGGCTATCGGATGCTGGTTATCAAGATGAATGGTGGTCTCTCGAGTCGCGAGATCCTCTCTCTCGTCTCTTCACAGTCCGCGTTCGTGGTGGAGAAGGGCTGGCTGCTCGTCGTGTGGCGAAAGCGCTGTCCATGCTCCGCACTGACAACGGCTGGCGTCAACTTGAAGTACCTGCTCACAGTGGCGAAGGCGTCGCGAAGTTGCACATCAGTGGCGGCAAGAACCCACGCACCATCAAGTTGGAGATCACTGGCCGCAAGGTGCGCACGCTGCTCGCGAACCACCTCGGCAACTCCCACCGTGTCTTCCTGGACCGTGAGAGGGGGTGGCTGTCCATCGGCTGGGGCCCGCTGCTCAAGTTGGAGGTATCGGAGGGCCGCGCGCCGACGCAGGTCAAGTGGAACCAAGCGACGCTCAACAAGCTCAACTTCTCGAAGGCTGAGCTCGCAGGTGCGATCGCCAGCGCGATTGAGCCTGACCAGGAGCCGCAGTGGTGTCTTTAGCCAATTCACTCGTCTTTTTGCTGTTTCCCCGCTGCCGTCTCTCCAGGATGCGGAAGCGCGAGGGGGTGTGAGATTTAATTCTTGGAATTGCAGGGCTTTGTTGCAGTTTGAAGGTAAGCATGCTGCGGTGAAGCTGGGATACATGAAGCGTCTGTGTTTAGGCTCGTCTGTTTCTGCTTTCCAGGAGGTCCGTCAAGATCTCACCCAGCTTGAATCCATCCTCAAGAAGATCCTCCCAGGCGCTTTGATATTTTCGAGCTTCTGCGGGGAAGATCCCGAGCGGCGCGTCCGTGGTGGGGTAGCCACGGTGGTCCCTGGAGTGCCCCAAAATGGCCAGACCTCTCCTCCTCCTGGTGTCACTACCACTCCTTATGTCTATGTTCCTGGCCGAGTTTTGAGAGTTTGCTTTTCCGATGGGGAAACCACGCTCATCCATTGGAATGTGCATAATCACGATTTAACACAACATCAAATTCGGGACGTGTGCGGTGCGATTACCCAGGATAGATGTCTGTCGGAGGCCTCCCCAGAATCCTGTCTCGTTGTCGTGCATGGCGATTTCAACATTGCCTCAGAGGAAAAGCTGAGCTTCTCGCAGCCATCTGAGGCCCAGAGGATTCCTCGCCCTCTCCATGCGAGAGCCCCTGTGTGGTCTCCCACTCTCGATTCCCTTGTTGAGATTACATGTTCTGCCGCCGCGCATTACGATGCGAAGGCAGATGCGGTGGCTGCGATAGATCGGTTTTGGTGCTCGTGGCCAGGCTGGGTCTTGACTCAGATGACTGTGACGGCGAAAGTAGAAGGTGATCCAGAGACGTTGTCCAGGCAGAAGGTAAGTGATCATGCTGCACATGTCGTCTTGTTTCGCCAGCGTTGCCCTCCTGCTCCTGGAGACCGCCCTATCCCCAAACACATCTGTGCCACGCGTGAGTTCAGAGCTATCCGTGAGAAATATCTGGAAATTGAGCGGCCTCATCTGGCTGCGATGAGCTCGGCCTCGAGGCTGGAACGCTACAAGTACCTTCTGACAGAAGCCAGTCGTGAGGCGCGTGATCGGCTTCTCTTTCGCCATCCTCGTGACCCACGCACGTTGCTTTTGGTTGCCAGAGCCGTGGCGCGCGCTGTATGGAGACAAGATGTCCAGGCTGCTATTCGGCTCTTGGGCTCTCACTCTGCAGCGGCCGACTTTTTAGAAGTAAGCGGCACGCGGGTCGAGCTTGTGCACGCAGCATCCTTCATGCAGTGGTGCAACTTGCAGCAGCTCAATGCCGCGGAACTCGATAGAGCTGCTCTACGGTCACAGCTAGCACAAGTAGCGGGTCGGGGAGATGAAGGTGGTGGGAATGCCGTGGGACAGAATCAGCTTCGGAAACGCATGAGAGCTCTCGATCGTCGTGCTCGTATCTGGGTGCCTTTTGCTCGACGTATGGTTCTTCGTGACATAGTCGTGGATGGGGTTCCTGTGGGTGGTCCTGAGGCTCGCTGTCGTGCTCTTGGGCGTCATTGGGGACAAGTCTTTGCTCGCAAACCTTGGGATCGTGCTGCTGCCAGTCGATGCGTCGACCGTTTCGTCAAGCCCGTCGACTTCTCTGTGGTCTCTCCCCCCTCGTTCAAGCTCATGAAACAGATCGTCGCACGTGCCTCTGACTCTGCTCCTGGCTGTGACCGTCTCTGCTATGCAGCGTGGGCTGCGCACGACTTCGGCGTGGAGATCCTCCGCGATGTAATGCTGGACATGTTTACGGGCGTGGCCCCGTATGCGAGCGAGAGCCTCACGCTGCAGGCTTTCTTGCCGAAAGGAGAGTGCGATGGTGATACACAGGCAGGCGAATGTGATCGGGATGTGAACTCTGTCAGGGTTCTGGGCCTTCGGAACACCGGCTACAAAATCATCGCGGCGTCGGTGAATGCGGCGCTTCGGAAACCTCTGGACGCCTTTGTGCCACCGTCGCAGCGCGGCTTCATGAGAGGCCGCAACTTCGCCATGAATGTTGCTGAGCTGGACGTCGTGGCCCGTGGATTTTCGTGCCGCCCCGAAGCCGATGGAGAATGCCCTCTTCTATTTGCACTTGATTATGGACATGCATTCCCTAGCCTATCCCAAGAATGTCTTCTTCTCGTTCTTCATGCTATGCAGTGCCCTGGGGCCCTTCTGGCATTTGTTGGAATCTTATACGCGGCCATAGAGGGGACCATGTCATGCTGTGGAAATATGATACATGCTTTCTGGCTTCGTTCTGGCATTATCCAAGGGGATGCCCTCTCTGGTTCTCTATTTGCTATTGCTCTGGCCCCGACTCTTCATGACCTCTTCGTCTCCATCGAACGCCCCAAGAACGGTCTCAGTCGAGCATGTGCAGATGATATCGGAGGAGTGCTTCGGACGTTGCAAGGCCTACGCCCACTCGCTCGTGTCATGTCTGTTTCGGCTCGGGTTGCGCACCTGTGTTTGAAGGCGGCCAAGTGTTTCATCGTTCCAGTTGCGTCGGAGTTCACGCCAGAGATCGAGGAGCGCATTCGTACATATATCCAGCTTGTGCTGCCGTCGTGGTCGGCCTTCCAGATCAGTGATAAACTCTTTTACCTTGGGATGTGGGTTGGACCTGGGGCGCGTTTGGAAGACTCCTGGACTAAGCCGTGTGACAAATACCAAGCCAGGGCAAAAGCGATCGGCCAGGGGACTCAGGCGACTTCGGTATCAGGACGACTTTATCAAACTCGCGCTCTACCTGTCCTAAGCTATGTCATGCAATATCTTCCTCTCCCACGTCGAGCACTGCAGCTGGAGCTCGGTGCCCTCGCCTCCGCGTTCAGGGTCCCTCTCGGCACGTTCAGCGCGCCGGCTTGGATGGCCTTAGCGGAGTGGAACGGTCCGCGAGTCACCACTCTCTTACCCTTGTCGACGGCGGCGCTCGCACGGATGGCACTCCAGACTGTCCCTGACTTCCAAGCGGCACTTGCTTGGCTTGAAAAATGCACGTCTGAGGGTGAGGCGAAAGATAACTGCCGATTGACCGTCGTCCCCGAGCATCTGAAATACCCTAGTCACTGGAAATGCAAGGCGTTCGTTGAGTTTTGGGAGGAGGCGGCTAGAGGCTCTGGAAATCATCTTGCTGCTGCTGCATCCCGCGCTGCCAAGACTGCCCGAGATGCCCGTCCCAGACGGAAGGTCCAGAGAGCTGCGTATCAGGCGTGCTGTGACATGTTCCCGAGAGCCGCGCTTGTCACTCTGTTCCGTGAGCGCCTGAAAAAGTGGTGGCCTGACCGTGCTGAGGAGATTGATGAGGTTGACCTTGAGCCGACCCGCGCCCTTCTTTCCTCGGTCCCGCCCTCGTGGGCGTGGGCATGGATTCGCACGCTGGCTGGAGGCTGGATGACGTCTCATCGTATCCTATCGGCCCGTGGGCCAGGACTTTGCATGTTTGGTTGTTTAGGGGGCCTCGACAGACAGTGCCACTATTCAGTTTGTTCTCGCCTCGCCGCGGCCACGTCGACCGTGCTTGGGAATCGCGCTCTCGCCTCTGATCCTTTACAGCGTTGGGGAGTCACGCGCTGCAC